AAAAAAAAAAAAAAAAAAACCCCGCCCGCCGACCCAAATTTTTAGATTCCATGTTATGCAAAACGAAAAATTAACTTTGCGTGGCCTAATGTGGATATTCTATATTAATACCTACGCTCTGTTACCAACAGACAGAACCACATGTGCACTTCCACTAGCCTTTTGTCTCTCTTGCAAAGCAGTTGCCATGTTCAACGGTGTATCAACGCTGCTCATTGCTTTTAATTTACGTTCTTCTTCAAGTTTCTTGAGACGCTTCTCTGTTTTTGATTTCCCGGATGATTTTCCATGGAATTTATGAGATAACTGACGGAACGCCTATAAAATATAATGATAAATAAATAAAATTACTCTGTATTGTATTGAAGTACCGTGAATCTCAACAGGAATATGCACGTTATTTCGAAATTTTTTGAGCATGATCACTACTATATATGGGTGCCTAAATTGCCTCTCTTAATAAAATTATAGTATTTAGTTTGCCGAAATTATTCATAGTTGCCGAACTCTATATGAAAATAAGTTAAACTGTATAGTTGTTTTGAAAGCTTCATATAAAAAATATAATAATGTAGAAATAATTTCCGACATTAACATTTCTCAAGAATTATTTAAACATATATCTACATATTTGAATCCGTTACATAAAATGTTATGTGTGGCTCGCATTATTTTAGGACACCCGTGAGCGATTCATTTTTGAAATGATCCAATTGCGAAATAACGTTCATCCAAGTTATTTCGAGATTTTATGTAAAAATAATAATTACTAACCTCCTTAGGTGTTAATTGATTTCCAAATTCATCAACATACTCTAAATTGATATCTGGCTTATAATCCTTAAATCTCGCTTCCATTTCTCTAAGATGCTCACGATCACGATAACTACTGTCACTATCTCGTCCACCCCCTCCTCCACGGTAGCCCTTTTCTTTAGCTCTTTGTTTTTCGCGTTCCCTTTCGGTTTGCCTTTCAAGATCCCTTCTGCGTTGTTCAGCAAGCCATTTTTGTCTCTCTTTTTGAATACGCTCTTTCTCGAGTTGCTCTTCAGATGGTTTAATTGAGAACCCTGTATAGAAGTACAATTAATAATTATGAAATGTAAGTTTATTAAAAATGTTGGTGAAATTAAACTAGAAATGGTGAAAATAATGTCACCTTTATTTGCAAATTTGGTGAAATTAATTTCACTAGAATCTCTAAGACTCATCATATGAAATAAATAAATCTATAATGTACCTTTTTGTTGCAAGAGAGCTAATGTTGCTGCCATTCCGGTACTAACCAATGGTTCTTCTTCGACTACACCAACCTTGAGAAATAAAAATTATGTTTATATCATTTTGTAACAAACTCCTTATATTATACGCGTTTGAAACATGGAAATATTACTTACTAGTTTTGGTTCCTCATTAACGTTGGCCATATCCTGGTCTTCAATTGCACCAGCTGTCTTCCAGCCACCACTTTCGTCTTCTTCTTCAGCAGCTTCTTCCATTGCAACATCGTTAGTCTCAGCTTCTTCCGGCTTTTCATCTTCAAGTTGATCATCAAGTCGATTATCGGGTGTTAGACTATCAGCTTCTGTAAGTTTTGTTACTGTTGAAGCTATTGCCAGAGATCGAACAAATTCTGATGTATCTGATATCACCAATCCACTATCAGGCCCATCATCGTCTTCTTCCTGTGTTTCTCGTTCTTGTGTCACTGTATATGTGGATAATGATTACATTTTAATATTAATAAATAAATAAATGAATAAAAGACCAACTAAAATATTTGAAGAGATGCACACAAGTTCTTGCAATTTCTTCCACAGAAGCTTTTGCTACTTTTTTTGCAGCCATTTTTCTCGCTCTAGCTAGAGCTTGTTGAAGATCATCGTCATCAACAAAGCTCACATCATCCAGATTTTCTCGTCTTCTAACTTGTATGGTTGTAGTTGATTCTACTTCCATAGCATCGGGATCATTTGTTTGTTTTTCCTCTACCAATGAATCATCAGTTGTAGTCTTCTGTCTGACTTTTTTCTTCTTTTTGACCTAGTATGCGTGAACCTGTTGGTTAATTTGGTTAATAAAAATGTGGCGTTTATTTCAATAAACCATTACAACTATATACATACTTTAGGCTTCTTGAAAGTAACCTCTGCTTCTTCTTTAGTGTAATAATCCTGAATCTCTTTCATTTCTATATATCAAAGTAAATTCAATATTTCACTTAAATTTATAAGCTTAATATACCAACAAAAAAATTAGCCTAAAAATATTAACATACTGTCAAAAGTCAGAGAAATAGGATTTGACTTTAATTTTTCCGATACTTGGTTTCGTATATCATCTTCACTCAATTTAACCGTGCCATCATTATTTAGCATAAATCCCTAAATATATATAATAAACGCTTGAGAAACTGTTTCAAATTGTCGAAATCTATCAAGTGCAAAAGAAGTAAAAGCATAAATACAGGTCGTTTATTTTTCTCTATTTCTTCATCGTAATGTGCTAAAATGCTTTTTTTAGTTGCACCACCCCCAAAATTAAATTCTTCATCGTCATAGCCAGTATAAACTGGTTTTTTCTTTTTGTTTTCTAAGTTCTTTTTAAGTCTTTGCTGTTCCTCTAGTTGTATTGAAACCAATTGATCTCCTTCCTCTGTAAAGATTGTTTTTTAGTTTTGCATTTTCGATTTTGCAAAATAAAAAAGGATCGCATATTAAATATTACCTTCATTTTCAAGTATGGATGAATCTTTTAAAACTAAAATACGTTCTTCTCCATCTTGAAACTCTGATATGTCGTGGACAACTTGCATCTTAAACTGAATATTAGGGTATTCATAAAATCGGTAAATCAAACTATTGAGGATTTTTTAAGCATAGCATATGTGATTTTGAATAGGATCTACCAATCAGATAAGTAAAAATTGTGATGATTGCGAATTTGTCATAATATAGAAAGTATTGTTCGCTTTTACAAAGCCCCAGGCTTTATCTCTTAATTTTACGACTTGAAATTTTCATATTTATGTTCAACAAGACCTAAAGTTCAAAGAACCACAAATAGTTTTTCAAGAATCAAAAATATTTTTTAACTAAAGATGTCTAGAAATGTTTGTTTAAAATAGCAATTATTTTATAGTTTAAAATAATTTAAAAGATATAGAATAACTAATATATCTTATACTTTAGATAAGATTAGTAAAATTGATACAGAAGTTAGAATCAGAAAGTTTATAGAGATTTATAGATAAGTCTTAAATACAATATATAACAAATAATTATAGTATATAATAAAACCCTTAAATAAACAATGATAAAAATTGTATATATGCCTCACCTTTAAGATTAAAAAAAAAAAAAAAAAAATTGTATATATAACTATATATATTCTTGCCAAAATATAATAGTAACTTATACACTAATAAAATTAATCAACCAAAGGGGCTAGCTTTGAAAATATATCTAGTTAATTTTTCAATTATGTAATTAGAACATGTCTGTGATCGATAAAATTCTATATAATTAACAATCACACTGGCGATGAATTATAAATCTGTAAATCTATACCGTATTCCTCGAAATAACGTCCTGGAGTGTAGTTTAAAATTTCGGTCTAAATTAACAATTAAGTCCAATTCGACCTATTTTAAGCGGTTCTACCATCCAAATCTCGAAAACCATAATTCCGACATGACAATTAATAAATATTGGTAATCACATTAACAGACTTTAAATTTTTAATTGTCACTTTGCATGATGTCATTATTATGTTCTGTTGTGTCGGGATTTTGTGGTAAAAACTTGGTTCGAGCCAAAATTTTAAACTACACCCAGGCATTATTTCGAGCAATATAATAACAATGTTTTTAAATCCTATACTTCATTAACGATTTGATTATCCAACAGTTATATATCCATGTAATAATGTATGTCATATCATATAAATTAGATTTTTATTTCTATATATCTAAATTCACTATATAATATCTCCCTTCACCTCAGACTCATTTCTATTTCACCTTCTTTTCATCAGCTTCATCTATAGTCTTTTTAAACTCAACAATCACCTCACCAATAAACAACTCGCTCAATAAAAATAATAATATCATAAATAATGCAAATAAAGAACTAATAACAAAATGACTTATTGTAGTTCCAATTTCCAACCAACTTCCATAATCTCTAACCAAATAAAAAAAATTCAATGTCATAATATCTGTCGTAGAAAGAACCAATAAAAATAAACTGAATGGTGGCAAATTTAACGATTTGTTAATAATTCCGAATACTGAAGAAACTATAACAAACGGAATTAATATTTTAAATATTAATAATGCACCCATTAAAAATGGATCAAAGATTGTGGTTAATCTATATACACTTTGTAAAGAAAAACTACTTAAACTTGCAATATTTCCTGTACCAAAAAATGCTACTTTAATGAAAAACAAGAATGCCAGTGCTATTCGACTATCTCCGATTTCTAGTTTACGAACTTGCTTTTTGCAAGACGAATTTAACGTTGGGTGCGCTTTAATAAATAATAAATATTCGATTTGATGCCATATCAACAACGTTATTGTTAAGAAATAGTAAAATAATACTTCATACGAAATGCTTAGGATTACGAATAGCGGAGAAAATGAAAGTGATATAGTGATCAAACGTTGAAAATAATGCTGCTTCCCAGATCCATAAACAAATGGCGTTGCGGTTGAAATTACTACATAAAAGAAATATAGATGAAAAAAATTATTAAGCATTAAAGAATCATCGA